ATCTTTTGCCTGATGTTAAAAGTTGGAAGAGATTTTAAACCAGGGTGGGAGAGGTCTTTGATATTGGTTGCTTTCCCAAGAGAGCTGGAAGTGTAGATGGATTCATTGGATGGAAGGTTGGTTTGCATAATGGACTGAGCTGTGTTCACAACTCTCTGCAGTTTTTTATGGTCCTGGGCAGAGTAGTTGCCATACCAAGCCAAGATGTATCCTGATAGAATGCTTCCTATGGTACCTCTATAAAATTGGTAAGAGTCCTTATGGACATGCCAAATTTCCTTAGCCTCCTGAGGAAGAAGAGGCGTTGTTGTGTTTTCTTGACCATTGCATCAACTTAGGTAGACCTGGACAGATTGTTGGTGATCATCACTCTGAGGAACCTAATGTTCTCAACCATTTCCACCTCAATGCCATTGATGTAGACAGGGCCGTATTCTCCTCCTTGCTTCCTGAAGTCAGTGACTAACTTCTTCATCTTGCTGACATTGAGAGTTATGCAGAAAGATCAAGGCTGGAGTACAGGATGTAAATATCATAGATAACACCACACCCAGTGTAGAGGAAGCAGTGCACTTTGTACACAAGTGCTTAACTGAAAAGAAACAAGTCCAGCTATTTTCTGGTCAACCTGAATAGATGTTTTACATCACAACACTGAAGCAAGTGTGACTCAAACCCAGGCCTCCTGGCTCAGAGGTAGGGACACTGTGTAATCCCATTGTATCTGGTATTTCCAGGTAGTTTGCCTGCCCAAGTACTAATCAGAAACAAGCACAGAATGCTGGAGAAACTCAGCTGGTCTGGCAGAGAGAGAAACAGAGTTAACATTTTGAGTGTGGGTATGACTTTTCTTCATAACTCCAAGTACTAACCAGATTTACCTTGCTCTTGGTAATGAGGACCTGTTCTCTCCCATTCACACCTTCACTTACACCCACTTTACCCCTTTTTTTTATTTCTTTTGTCACCATTCTATTTGGAATTAAGAGTCTACTGATGATCATGAAACTATTGTTGATTGTTCAAAAAATCATCTGGTTCATTCATGCTTTTTAGCAAAGGAGACTGTCATCCTTACCTGGTCTGGCGTCCATGTGATTCCAGACCCACAGCAATGTGGTTGAATCTTAACTGCACCTCTGGGCATTTAGGGATGGGCAATAAATGCTGATGAGCCAGCGACAGCCACAACTCCTTTTGTCTATTGCACTGGGTCTCTGCATCATCTGTTCCCCTAGCCCCTCTATTGCCTCCTTCAAAACCATAAAAGAACTCATTTACCAGCTCCTTTCAGTTCTGAAGAAGAGTTGTACCAGACTCTAGATGTGAGCTCTATTTCTCTCTGCACAGATACTTCAAGACCTGCTGAGTTTTTCCAGCACTCTGAGTTTGTTGCTAACAAGGCCTGGGACTGCTTGGGTTCCAAGATCAGGCAGTTTCAGACTAGGATGGCCACAGTCTAGCCCAGAAGCTGCAATAGCAAGTAATTGGTCACCCTCAGGCTTCCCAGCACTGGGATTACAGGAGTGTGTCACAGCTCACAGTAACAAAGCTTGCCTATAAAGATGGCCGCAGAGTATTGCTGACCAATCACTTTCTATCACCCAGCAAGTTAAAGCCACCTGGTGTCAAGGTGATGGTTGGTTTGTGCCTATTTCAATGCTGGCTGCAGATGGGGTGTATTGAATGCAAGTGGAGACACTGGTGTTTCACACAGCAAACAACGTTACCTGCACTGACCTGCTCAACGTGTCCCAGGGCCTTACATTAATTCCAAGATATGGAACTGGCAGAAAGGCAAGGAGGGGGCAAGACAGGAGGTTGTTGGATAATAACTGTCTCTTTTAGACACCAGTGCAGGAATAAAGTTGACCCGCTCTCATCCAGACACTGCTGTTACAGTCCAATGAGAGAAACATTCAGCAATGGCATGAAGACTTTCACAGATGAATAGTTTGATTTTTTTTTATTGTCACATGTACCATAATACAGTGAAAAGCTTTGTTTATGAGCGGTACAGGCAGATCACAGGAAGCAAAAAATGTACAGATCAAAAAGACTTAGAGGCATGCAGGTCACATTATTTGAGGCTACAGTCCATCCAACAGTCTGATAGCAGCTGGAGAGAAGCTGTTCCTGAACCTGCATATGCGTGTGTTCAGGCTCCTGTACCTTCTGTCTTGACAGAAGAGGTTGTAAGAGGTTACTACCAGGGTGCAATGGGTTTCTGATGTTGGTAGCCTTTCTGCAGCAACAAGAATTGTAAATAGAGTCCATAGATGGAAGGTTGGCTTCTGTGATGGTCTGGGCTGTGCACACCACTTTCTGTAGTTTCTTACAGTCCTGGGCAGAGCAGTTGCCATACCAGGCCATTATGCACTTGGACAGTATGCTTTCAGTCGTGCAGGTACAGAAATAGGTGAGGGACATTATGGACATACCAAATTTCCTGAGCTGCCTGAGGAAGAAGAGGTGTTGTTGTCCTTCTTGACATTACATCTATGTGGGAAGTGTAGGACAATTGGCTGGCACATTGAACTGGCATCTTGGGAAGGTGCCAGGGAAGTGAATGTAGTAGAGCTTACAATGCTGTCATGCCTCAGCATGTTCCAAAGTATTTTCCGTTGTTTTTTAATGTTTCTCTGCTGTTCTACTGTAGGGAAGGGCGCAAATCAATTACCCAGAATCCAGCAAGAGATGAGACTTTTAAAAACACAGGCAGCCATCAATGGTCACAGGACTGCTACATCGTGGAAGCACAGATGAATTATTCCCAGAGAAAATATGAATCCCTCAAGTATCAACACTGAAAGGGATTATCAGGATTTACCCTATTAGTGGCTGTGGGACACTGCGTTGTTTATGTTACTGCAGTGACTACACTGCAAAATGATATTGTTGGCTGCAATGTGATTTGGGAGCATTCACCATTCATGAAAGCTGCTATACAAATGCAGGCTTTAGATCTCTCTCTATTCAAAGAGGGTCTTGTGGCCAGTGTGAAACAATGATTAATCCAGTAAGCAGGCTTCAGCATGGATTCTGATGTTTGATTGAATGGTGCCACTTGTGGGAAGCTACAACTAAATGAAGCATTTAAAATAAAATACCTTAAACCGACAACCATGTCTCTAAAAGTTCTTAAAACTGTTGAGCGACATGTCTGGAATTTTATGAGGATCAGGAATTACGATTGATATCCACAGGCACTCTGTGTTAAGGTTGTAAAATTATGGCTGTGTAAATAGTCAGAGATAGGAATGGCATGAATACCAGATGTCAAAGGGAGAGTGTGAAGGTACCATTGGAAGGTACAGGGCTGGTATCCAACTGGAATTTGAGAGGTAGCTAGGCAGAGTCCACAGAAACAAACACAAAGTTGCTGGAAAAGCTCAGCAGGTCTGGCAGCGTCTGTGAAGAAAACAGAGTTAACGTTTCAGTCCAGTCGTTAACTTTCTTCTTCCCCCTTCACAGGTGCGGCCAGACCTGCTGAGCTGTTCCAGCAACTTTGTTTTTGTTCCTGATTTACAGCATCCACAGTTCTTTTGGTTTTTATTTAGAGTTCACAGAAGACCACAGGCATCTCTTTCCATAAACCAGAGACAGATGGTTGTATGTAGCTGGAGGGGGAGCCACTCAAAAGTGACGAAAGAGCCCTTCAGGAGCTCTCACCCACAGTGCAGGGTCAGAACGCACACTGTCAGCATCATACCACTCCACGTTGGAGAAAGACCACTGTCTAAGGTCTTTCAGCCAAAGTTAAATGGGGGTCCATTCAGGTAGTTGACCTCCCCGACTTAATTTGTACAAGTAAGAGATGCTTTTGGGTTGTTTCTTGGATAAAGTCGCACTCCAATGTTTGCCTGTTTCTTCATATGCTACTGAACCACTTTCGGGAATATATATGTATATAGTTTTATGAATACAGTATATTTTCGAAATAGAAAAAATCCGCATCACATACTAGCCATCTAGTCAACTTGGGCAGGTTTGGTGGTGGCGGGGGAAAGAAAGAGAGAGACAGGCAGAGAAGGGTGCATAGCTGCTGGACTGGTGATCCCAGATACCCAGACTGATGTTTTTTTTAAAATTCACTTGTGGGATAGGGGCATCACTGACTGGGCCAGCATTTATTGCCCATGTCTAATTGCTGATGAGATGGTGGTGGTGGTGAGCTGCTGCCTTGAACTGCTGCAGACTCTGTGCAGGATTGTGACCCAGTGACAGTGAAGGAACGGTGATGTATTTCCAAGTCAGGCTGGTGAGTGGCTTGGAGGGGAAGTTGCAGGGGCTGGCATTCCCAAGTATACACTACTTTTGTCCTTCTCGATGGAAGTGGACGTGAGTTTGGAAGGTGCAATCAAAGAAGCTTTGGTGAATTTCTGCAGTGCATCTCGTCGATGGTACACACTGCTGCTACTGAGCGTCCATGGTGGAGGGAGGGGATGTTTGTGGATGTGGGGCTCTTGGGACAGAGGTCCAAACCCCACCATAGCTGGTAGGAGTTAAAACCTAACCAATAAATGTCCTTTAAGGAAGGAAACTGCTATCCTTACCTGGTCTGGCCTACATGTGACTCCAGGCCTACATGTGACTCCAGATCTACTGCAATGGGATGGACACTTATCAGCCATCTCAAACAGCAAATAGGGATGGCCTTCCAGTGACACCCATGTTCCATGACAGAGACACTCAACACTCTCCCTCTAGGAGTGACCTCAGCATGGCACTCCCCTCCTCAGGAGGCAGGCTGTTGTGAACGTTCCCTCGGACACTCTCCCCTGTGTGTGTGTGTTTATGTGCAGGTGTGTATGTGTATTTTGGGGGGAGATGGGGGGGAATACTCTCTCTTGCACTGACCCTTCCCCGACAGTTTGGCCTGTAATAATTGGACAGACACTTCACAAACTCACTCTAAACACAGTGGGGATCTCTCCCACAGAAAAGGGAAAGGGAGATGGGATGTTGAAGCCAATATAAACACAAGACTACATCCAATGTTTATTCGCTGAATATTGATTTTATTGAAAGTATGTTTTCCAGAATCACATACAGGGATGATCCTTGAACATGGACACTTTCCAATGCAGGCACCCAGTGTTCCCATCAAACACTCCCAGGATAGGAACAGCATGGGGTCAGATACAGAGTAAAGCTTTCTCTACACTATCCCCATCAAACACTCCCAGGATAGGTACAGCATGGGGTCAGATACAGAGTAAAGCTTTCTCTACACTATCCCCATCAAACACTCCCAGGACAGGGACAGTACAGGGTGAAATACAGAGTAAAGCTTTCTCTATACCGTTCCCATCAAACACTCCCAGGACAGGAACGGCACGGGGTTAGATACAGAGTAAAGCTCCCTCTACACTATCCCCATCAAACACTCCCAGGACAGGAACAGCACGGGGTTAGATACAGAGTAAAGCTACCTCTACACTGTCCCCATCAAACACTCCCAGGACAGGAACAGCACAGGGTTAGATACAGAGTAAAGCTACCTCTGCACTGTCCCCATCAAATACTCCCAGGACAGGAACAGCTCGGGGTTAGATACAGAGTAAAGCTCCCTCTCTATACACTGTCGCCACCAAACACTCCCAGGACCACAGCCAGACAGGGTTAGATAGAAAGTACAGCTTATTCTATAATGTCCCTTCCAACCCTCTACTCTTTTAAACGGAAAGTAAAGCTCCCTCTAACCTTTTAAATGGAAAGTAAAGCTACCTCTACACTGCCTCATCAAATATTCCCAGGGCAAGAGCCACTTGAAGTTAGACACAGAGTAAAACCTCTCGACACTGTCCCTTTCATATTCTCCACAACAGATACAGCACCAGGTTAGATACAGAGTGAAGCTGCCTCTACGCTGTCACTATCAGACAGTTCCAGGGCAGGGACAGAACAGGGTTAGATACGGAGAAAAGTTCCTTCGACTCTTTAAAACTGAAACTAAAGTTCCCTTGACACCATCAACGTCAAAGACTCCCAGGACAGAGGTAGCACAGGGTTAAATACAGAGTAAAGTCTCCTCTACTATTTTAAACTGAAAATAAAGCTTTCTCTACACTGTCCTCATCAAACGCTCCCAGAACACATACAGCATGAGGTTAGATATAGAGTAAAGGTCTCTCTTCTCTTTTTAATCAGAAAGTAAAGCTTCCTCGACACTGTTCCCATCAAACACTTGCAGCTCAGGGATAGCACAGGGTTCAATAAAATACACAGGGTTCCACTCTTTTAATCTGAAGGTACATTGAAACTAAAGCACCCGCTATAGTGTCCCCATCAAATACTCCCAGGACAGGTACAACCTGAGATAAAATACAGGTAAAGCTTCCTCTACTCTTTTAACCGGAAAGTGAAGCTCCTTCTACTCTTTTAAACTGAAAGCAAATCTTCATCTGCGCTGTCCCCATCAAACACTCCCAGGCCACGTTCAGTACAGGGGTTAGGTACAATGTAAAGTTGCCTCTGTTCTTTTAAACTGAAAGTAGAGCCTCTTCTATATTGTCCCCATCAAACACTCCCAGGCCAGATACATCACTGGATAGGAGACAGAGTGAAGCTTCCTGTACACTGCTAAGAGGATGAAGCTTACATGCAGCCTGAACAAGTGCTTGGGACTGCAGTGATCTTCCATTTAATTTCCAATTCCCTCCATACTGACAATGAGGATTCAATTCAAAGCTATGAGAAACTGGAAGCCAATGGTGAATGGCCATTAGGATCTAGGCTGAGACTCTCTGGGCTCATGGTAACTCAGAGTCTGCACGTAGCTATGTGAAGAGACCGAGTGAAGTCCCAATCCAGGCCCCAAGAGATTGACCAGACAATGAACCCGCTCCATCTCCAAGCTTCTGCCTTTCTTCATTTGAGTAACTAAGTTGACTACGTCAGGATCACAATATGGAAAGCAGAAAGTCTGGGCATAGCATCAGGCAGACGAGGCTTGGCACACAAATACTGAATGAAACATTATCTTCCTGAGATTCTTGCAGTTGTCCATTGATCAACAAGACAAAGTTCTTTGTCTCAATATTGTCAATTGTCAGAATTCACCTTCCCTGTGGAAATGTTGTGCAAAGAGTCCCTGTTTCCTCAAGCTCACCCAGTCGGAATGGTCCGTGGGTCACGGGTCATGCTGCTGAGGTCGTAGGTCATGATGCTGCCAACGCCGGTCCCTCAGTGGTTATGCCCCATTCCTTGGTGGTGGGTAACGCCATACTCGGTAGATGATAATGGACAAGGCGGGGCCAAACATGAGAAAACTCATCAGGATGACCGCACCCAGGATCACTAGCACGATTGCCCAGATCTCCAGCACATGTGTGGATATGGCGTTGACTGTTGGAGAGGTCACCAACTCGACCATTGTTCACGGTCTTGTCCAAACCAGCCAAACAGAAACTTCCTTCACCCCTGCAGATAAAGGAGAGGGTGCAAGTAAACAGGAAAGGTTAGTTCTTCCCAATCTCAGCACTTGGCTCAATGCCTACCCACTACCTCCAACCTTGCTCACCCACCGTCCCACTTAACCCAGGTTCACCAACTTACAGAACTGGCCTTGGAGTCTCCAGCAATTGCAGATTAATCTCCAGTCCACTATGTTAAGAACACACACATATATATTGCTGGACTACAGGGTTCTTGTGGCATAGTGGCAGTGTCCCTACCTCTGAGCCAAAAGGCCCGGACTCAAGTTGCACCTGCTCCAGAGGTGTGTATTAATATCTCTGAACAAGTTGATTAGACAATATCTATGTCAAAGGACTGTGAGAAACTGGAATATGGAACTGTTTAGACATTTCTGAGTTGAAGACCATTGATCATGTGATTTCTTGGTCAAATCTGACTGTGGATTATCTGCTGTTTCCTGGAAAAGTAAATAATCTTGGAGTCCAAGGAACTTTTCATAGAGATAAGAGGTGAATTTTATAGCTCTCAATTACCAATCCGACTTGGAACAGCCTTCGGAGTTGTGCAATTTGCTAACTATCAGAAGTATTAGAGGTCAACTGGTGTGATTTCTCAGAACCAGGTGTGAATTGTCAAAGATACTGACAACAGAAAGCTGGATCTCAGAGAGTGAGAGACAAATCTTAAAGCCAATCCCCAGAAAGCGCTCTCTATCCAGCAATTAAGTAATTTGAAAACCTGATAATGATTCAAATATCAAGACTATCACAGAGACAGTTGAGGGAGGGGACAGGATTGATATTCCATGATATAGAATGTGCTCCTAATTTGGAATGAGGGTTGGTTCAACCTCATAAAAATCACTTAAAGAGCTGGGTTTGTGCTGTAGGTCAATAAATGTGGAGGGAGGAGGAAAACTTCATCATGGTGGGCATCCTTAGAACAGACTTTGCAGGATGGTTTTCAGCGGCTTGGAGACAGAAAGGAATGCAGATACTGGAAGCTAGAATCAATAAATGTGGAGCTGGAAAAGCACAGCAGGTCAAACAGCATCCGAGGAGCAGGAAAGTCAACGTTTTGGGTCAAACCCCTTAATCAGGACTGGGGAAGGGGAGGGAAGCACAGAAATAAATACAATGGGGACAGGGGGGCTAGGGGAGGATGAGTGAGATGGAGATAGGGGGATGCAGGTAGGGGTTATTGTGGTTGGTCAGTGGGAAGGGGTGGGGTATCGAAATTGCTTTGGAATGTGGTTGAAGAGCTTCAGGGCAGAGGAGGTAACCAGGAGTTTGCAATGGGAGAGAAACTCACTGAACTATGTTTATCAGTCTTTCATCAGATGTGGGCATCACTGGTGAAGCCAACAGGTACTGTTCATCCCTAACTGCTACATTCTGTGTGGTACAGGTACATTCCCAGTGCTTTTGAGAAGGAGTCCCAGGATTCTGAATGAGCTAATTTGAGGAATGGTTAAAATTATGGGGTTTGCAAGAGGCCAGCATTGGAGAAGGGCAGAGATCTCAGCGATTGGAGGGCTGGAAAAGGTCACAGAATAGAAAGTGGTCTTCTACAGAGGGTTTTGAAGAGGAGGATGAGAATTTTGGAATTCAGGCTGTTTGTAAAAGCATTGAAACTATGAGCAGGAGTTAACCATTCAAGTCTGCTCCACCCTACAATATGATCACGGCTGATCCTCTGTCTCAAAGCCACATTCCTGTTTCCCCTCCATAATCCTGATGCCTTTGAAATCTCTCTCTGTCTCTCTGCAACAAAGTAAACAAAAACTGGAAGATAGTTAGCTATTCTCTCCTATCAATTGCTATGAGTGAAAATGAAACAAGGAAACAGTGGATGCTGTCAACTTGAAACAAACAAAGAGAGTGAGTGCTGGAGAAACTCAGCAGGTCTGGCAGCATCTGTGGAGAGAGAAACAGAGTTAACATTAACTTCTTCAGAACTAGAGCAGCTAGGAAATGGTGGAATTATGGTCATATGGATGGGGGAGGGAGAAGGGTGGGGGGGGAGGGAGGAGGGTGGGAAGGAGTGAGTGGATAGGTGGAGAGGGAGCCCAGTGAGAGATAGATAGAAAAAGAAAACAAAGGCAGGCAGCCAAGGGGATTGTTGATGGAAAGCCGGGGAAGGAGAGAAGCTAGATAGGGGATAATGGGGACTATGAGTGGGTGAAAATGGGTTGACAGTGCTGAAAGCCACCCAGGTCATGAGAGAGCTTGGGTTGTTGGAATGGTAAAAGACATGTAAAGAGGTGCTCATGCTTAAAGCAGAAGGTGACATATTGTTCTTCCAGCTTGCATTGAGCCTCACAAAAACACTGCAGTATGAACTACTAGCTTATAATTCTACAACGTAAACTCTATCCCTTCTTAAACTCCCCCTCCACAGGCAGACAGAGACAGAAAAGGCATGGATATTCAGAGTGGATTAAAAATAAATCAGGGAACACAGTTCAATAGCACTGGTCTGGACCACAAAATTCATCAAATCACTTTATTTCTCTTCCTTTCAATTCCTTTTTACATCTTTGCTGTTGCTTGCACACTGATGTTTTCCTTCACTCACTGATTGAGAATTTGTCCTCCCACTGTCTTTAAAGGCATTTTATTCCCCCTTGATTGGGGATTTGCAGAGAAAGGTGAGCGGAAGACAGCTAGGTGTTCCTGGAGATTTCCCAAAGCTTCCACACAAAGAGCCATTTTTTGATGCTTTGTCTTTGCAGGCTAGGTATTTCTTTGCTACTCTGGTTCCACACAAGCCATTGCTACCTGGTCCGGAGCCAATCAGATTATTGCTGTCAAGCAGTTTTACTTTAGTTCAGAATCAAAAGCGTTAAGTTCTTGGGAGTGATGATCACCAACAATCTGTCCTGGTCCACCCACGCTGACACAACAGTCAAGAAAGCACACCAACGCCTCTACTTGCTCAGGAGGCTAAGGAAATTCGGCAGGTCCACAAGGACTCTCACCAATTTTTATTGATGCACCATAGAAAGCATTCTATCCAGATGCATCACAGCTTGGTACAGCAACTGCTCTGCCCAAGACCACAAGAAATTACAGAGTCGTGAACACAAACCAGCCCATCATGCAAAATGGCCTTACACCCAGTGTCTCCACCTATTCTACCCGGGACAGCAACGAACATAATCAAAGACCCCTCCCAACCCGGCTATACTCTCTTCCACCCTCTTCCGTCAGGCAGAAGGTATATAAATCATAGAGTCATGGAGGTGTACAGCATGGAAACAGTCCTTCAGTCCAACTTGTCCATGCTGACCAGATATACTAGATAAATTTAGTTGCATTTGCCAGCATTTGGCCCATATCACTCTAAACCTTTCCTATTCATATACCCATCCAGGTGCTTTTTAAATGTTGTTATTGTACCATCCACCACCACTTCTTCTGGCAGCTCAATCCATACATGCACTACTCACTGTGTAAAAAAGTTGCCCCTTTGGTCCCTTTTAAATCTTTCCCCTCCCACCTTAAACCTACACCTCCTTTTGGATGCGTTTTGGACTCCCTCACCCTGGGGAAACGACTCTGTCTATTCACCCTATCCAAGCCAACCAACCGACCAATAAAAGCAAGTATCTGCCTTCTCCACTATCCTATCTACCTGTGACTCCTCTTTCAAAGAACTGTGAACCTGAACTCTTTGTTAAGGTCTCTTTGTTCAACAACACTCCTCAGGATCTTACCATTAAATGTGTAAGTCCTGCCCTGATTTGCCTTTTCAAAATGCAGCACCTCATATTTATCTAAATGAAACTCCACCTGCCACTCCTTGGCCCGTTGGCCCATCTGATCAAGATCCCATTGTACTCTGAGATAACCTTCTTCACTCTCCACTACACCTCCAATTTTGCTGTCATCTGCAAACTTACTAACCATAACCTCCTACGTTCACATCCAAATGGTTTATACAAATGATGAAAAGCAGTGGACCCAGCACCGATCCTTGTGGCACACCACTGGTCACAGGCCTCCAGTCTGAAAAGCAACCTTCCACCACCACCCTCTGTCTTCTACCTTTAAGCCAGTTCTGTATCCAAATAACTAGTTCCTACTCTATTCCATGTGATCTAACCTTACTAACCAGTTTACCATGAGGAACCTTGTCGAACGCCTTACTGAAGTCCATATAGATCACGTCCACTGCTCTGCCGTCATCAATCCTCCTTGTTACTTCTTCAAAAAAACTCAATCAAGTTAGTGAGACATAATTTCCCATGCACAAAGACATGCTGATTATCCCTAATCAGTCCTTGCCTTTCCAAATGGAAGTTTGTATGCAGGAATGAACAGATTAAACAACAGCTTCTTCCCCGCTGTTAGCAGACTTCTGAATAGACATCTCAAATATTAATTCTGATCTCCCTCTCTGCAGCTTCTCTTTGGCTGTAGCACTATATTCTGCACTCTGTGCAGCTTCCCTGGTGCATTTTGTATGGTACGATCCGTCCTGTACTGCGTGCGACACAAAACTTTTCACTGTATCCAGATATACGTGACAAAAATAAATCAAATCAAGTCAAAACCACTGGTTCCATGATCTCTGCTTCTGGTTCCACACAAGCCATTGTTACCTGGTCAGGAGCCAATGAGAATATTGCTGTCAAGCAGTTTTACTTTAATTCAGAAACCATCGGTTACATAGTCTCTGCTTCTACTCTCAGTGTTTCAGGAAAAACGTTGTGAGTTGTATACTATGTACTCCAGTCAACACAAAAACTGCAGCCATGTCTTTGTAGTCTCCTTGGTTTAAAGCGGTGTCTTTCATTTTATTTTAACTCCACAGTCCAAGGCAATAAAAAGATGTGGTCTTTACAAGGTGTTGTTGGATGGATCATCAGGAATCTTTGCAGTCACCTTGTGGCCATAGGGATATCAGTCGGGGGTGACTGGTACGGTTTTAAATCCGAAGAAAGTTCCCGTGCCCCAATTTTGAAGAGAAGAGGAACTCTCCTCGATTTTTTGAGGCTG